ACATTGTAAAACTCACCCGGTATAACCCTATATAACTGATGTGCTACTAAATATTTAAATGGGAACTTTCTAGACTATTTTATTTTAATTTTATCGATCTTTAAAAAAGTAGTGCTTTAATTTTGCACATCAGTTTATAAAATATATCCTCACAAAAAAATAAAGTTCCAAGTTTTCGACCAGCAAATTTGTCAGTTTTAAATAGTGTTTCTAAAGAAACCTAAAGGAAATTTTTAACATTCAAACAAAACCATACCAGTTAAACTTTACTAAAAATCTAAAAATAAACTACTTAAGTATACTTAAAAAATAGTATATTACACTACCAGGGCCAAAAGTTAAATTATCGGCCCGTGTGGTGTATACTAATTTTCTTCATACATCGGTCAAAAGTACTTACTTTCGTCCCTAATAGCACAGCCCTGCTTAAAATACCCTATAGACACCTATACAAAATAATCTATCGGGCGCTACCGGATTCAATATGTGCATTTGTCCATGGTTTTTTCCGGATACGGCCCGATAGAAAATGTATAGGAAATTACCTATAGGCACACCATAACTTTTACATTTTCCCTATTGAGACCGATAGCAAATAACTCAATGAAGGATATATAGGGATATCCCTATAGAGCACCCATAAAACATTTGACAAAACTTTATTAAAACCTATGGGGTCCTATGGAAAAAAACTAATTTCTACATTTATGTGTATTTTTCGCATTGAAAACAATAGCAAATAAATCAAGGGTGGATATCCCTCTAGAACAACCATTAATCCCAACTATGGGTCCTATACATACCGATACAAAAAAAATAAAGTTTATATACAAAAGTGCTCTTTTAGTTCCACCCTTACTTCTTGAGAAGTCCCATAAGCCAACTGAATAGCTTGTGCGGGTTAGGGGTAGGAAGGGACCGCGGGCTTAAAATCCCCTCCGAAGGACTATTACACAATAGGACAAACACAAATAAACACAGCCATACCCCTGGTGGGATTCGAACCCACGACCTCCGGCTTGTAGTCAGTAGCACTAACCACTCGTCCACCGTCGGCGATAAAATACACCCTATAGAAATACCATACATTCCGATACAAATATCTATCGGTTTGAACAGGGTCTCTATGGGGTATTTTAAGCAGGGAGGGAGTAAATGTTAAACTTTCGTCCCTGCTATTAGGGACGAAAGTAAGTACTTTCGAACAATGTATTGTAATGGTTCCGAAAAAGAAACACCCTGTATAAATTTATTATAATACCTACGTGTTATTATATATTTTATTTTTCTAATTTTAAAATAGGATTAAGCTATAAAACTTTATTTGAAGGCAAACAAATTTTACAAATTTAGGTAGAAAATTTGCAAGCAAACAAGAGACGTATCCTTTAAGCTTGAAAAAGGGTACATCTGGCGTACAGATTGGGCGAGGAATTTCCACGAGAGGTAAACGAAGAAGGTTTTTGAAAAGGAGAAATGGCAGAAGCGTTTTGAATTTTGTGCAGTACAGTTCGTTTTCTTTGGTAAAATTGTAATAGTAAATTATTGTTCGAAAATCATTGTTAAAAGTGTTGTTAGTGTATTCTGCAAGGTTAGTTCTAAATATTTAATCTATTTAAATGTGTAGTAAAATTAACTAAACGTAATATTGTGCATTTTTAAATTGTTAATATTATTATTATATAATTATTGCTATTATGAGTATATTTATCCTTTACTATTACGTTTAGCTGTATTTTACGTTATTTTTAACCCTTTTCTTTTAGCTATTACCACCCCTATTCTCGCTTTTATTATTACTATAATTTTAATAATTTGCTATGCTCAATGCTTGTACCGCTCAAATGTAACCTTGTATTTTGTTTGTGCTTAACACATCATTTTGTACCCTTTTCTATAACGTGGTTAAGCATTGTTTTATGATCAGTCCAAAGTTATTGATGTATTGCGAAATTACTCGGTGCTTAACCAGGAGTGCTGACCGTTATTGTTCCAACTTTGAGTACTCTTTGTTTGTGTGCGTGGGCCTTTGTTGTATGAACTAATATTTTTCTCCCGTGAGGGGAAAAGGTTGCCCTAGGTTCTCTAGGGTTGCATCGCTTTTCCCCGACCCTTCAACTAAAATAGGCGGGTTGCCTCCCATTGTGGACCTCGTTACATTCTGGGCCTAGCCCGGCTAACTAACCCCAATATTCTTCAGTTTTAAATCTTTGTTTAAATGCAGTATCGAGCCATATAGCCAATACATTAATTTGCGTAATTTTTAAATTACAATGCCTGACCGCGTATTCCTTTGCTACTTCATAGCCGACCAGGGTTTTTTCTCAGGCTCTTTTTCCCTGGCCGAACCCTCCTAAGAGCCACCCCTTGCTTGTTTGTAAAAAGTTAACGTAAATTAAATTGGGGTAAATTAAGCCACTGTATTTTATTTCTTATAAACCTATTTCTCCCACGTATCATTCTTAAAGCAATGCATTTAATAAAACAAGTAAACACAGCGTAGAGGTCCAAATTTGGGTAAGACGATCACGAGCCAAAGCCACAAAATATTTAATTTATCAATTTTTCATAAAATTTGTTTTAACGAACCTGGGGGTAAAGAGAAATCTTACAGTATAAAGAAAAATAATTTTCTAGTTGTTGCATTTCTGTGGGTAAAAGGCATAAGGAGATAAGTAAAAAAAAAAAATTTTAGTAGTGTTCGCATTAATTTAGGAAATAAATTTATGGTTAGCGGTTATACCCTTTTGCCAGCACATGTCATATGCTAGCAAAAGGGTATACTCGCTAATCATAAATATATTTCCTGAATTAATGTGAACACCTTAGAGTCTCTACCAAAAAATTGCTTTTTTTGACTTACCCTCTTATGCCTTTTACCCACAGATTTATTCTCATGGTTGCGTAAGCCTCAAAACTAATTCTTGCCTTAAAAAGGTTTATAATATTTGTATAAAATAAATACGCGCATTATTTTCACCTCTCATCTGTCAAGCGCTTTATTTGTCAATTTTTTACTAATCAAAAGTAATTGTTGCGAATATTGGACTAGTACAAATTCCAGCGACTACTAAAGTAAACACGATGAGAGAAATACATGTACGTCATTACTTAGCTGCGCGAACAAAACGGTGCCAGTAGTTCAAATAATTGATAAAATAATTATCGAATAATAGATTAAATGCTAGTGATTAACGACCACCCCTAAAATTTTATACAGAACTCATCTGCAATTAATTTTCGATGTCTATGCTCTATGACGTAAATGTATTTATCTAATCGTGTTTACTCTAATTCCACGAGGTGAATATTTTTTAATATTTTAATACTTTTTAATTTTGATGCATTTTGATTAAAATTTTTGTTTCAATAAAATTTTTCTCCGAATACTACTTAAAATAAAAAATATATGTCAAATATTTTATGTTGTGATATAGCTAATATTGTGTGTGCTTGCAATTAGTACTCGTGCTATTCAAACCCTGCTTAAAATACCCCATAGAGACCTATACAAAATAATCTATCGGGCGCTACCGGATTCAATATGTGCATTTGTCCATGGTTTTTTCCGGATACGGCCCGATAGAAAATGTATAGGAAATTACCTATAGGCACACCATAACTTTTACATTTTCCCTATTGAGACCGATAGCAATTGCTATTTAAATAACTCAATGAAGTATATATAGGGATATCCCTATAGAGCAACCATAAAACATTTGACAAAATTTTATTAAAACATATGGGGTCCTATAGGGAAAAAACTAATTTCTACATTTATGTGTATTTTCCCCATTGAAACCGATAGCAAATAAATCAATGGTGGATATCCCTATAGAACAACCATAAATCTCAACTATGGGTCCTATACAAACCGATACACCCTATAGAAACACCATACATCCCGATACAAATATCTATCGGTTTGAACAGGGTCTCTATGGGGTATTTTAAGCAGGGAAGCCAGCATAAAAAAAATTCGCTATATCAAACCTTAAAATATTCGAAATATTTTTGTTTACTTGTGGTATTATGTATATGAAATTTTGTACTTTTATTTATCAAAAGTGGACCAATTAGAGCGCTGTTTGGTAACATTGAACTAGTACAAATTGCAGCAAATATTGTACTATTTGAATATTTTTTAATATTTCAATTTCGATGTTTTTTGATTTAAACTTTTTGAATTTTTGTTTCAATAAAATTATCCCATTATAAATATAATGAAATCCCAATTATATGAACATATTAAAAACATGCATTAATTCTGCCGTAAAAGTTAAAAGGACTCCTAAATCAGTTCAGTTTTAAACGAAGAAAATCGATGAAAACGATTTTGTTGCAAAAATGTATTAAAATTTTTAATTTTTATAAACATTAAAACATTTTAAATGCAAAATTATTATTCTCGATTTCGTAAAATAAATTTAATTTTTGGTTATTTGCACCAAGAAAAACAAAATGCGTTTATTAATTTAAAAAATACAAGGGAAAAAAGACTTAAGTCGACATTAGGCTATTTTACTTGCATAAGCGCCCGAGTTGCGTCTGCCTTACAAGCGAAGAAACACCTTCAAGTCCGATCAGGTTCTATTTAGCCGGATATATATTTTACGTTTAACTTAAATTTGGTGGTTTATTAATATGACTCTGAACTTGCAATAAACAAAAAATATATTAATTTTTCCTAATTTTTGTTTTGGTAGATATATTTAGAATTCTTTCGCAATCGATTTATAAGAAAATCTTATTTTCGTCGAAAATGTTAATTTAGTGTCTGGCAGAATTAAGCAAACCAGTAGGTACATTTAATACGCCTTATTTCAAAACATGGTCGATCGTTAAGTGCACTTACACTCTTTATGAAGAGTTTAACGATATTGTGTTATAGTTATAATAAACGATAGTATCGTTATATTATAATAACCTTTAATTACATATTATATGTCCTTATTATAAAATAAAAACCATAATAACAATTTATTTAATTTGAAACTTACTATATTATAACTGCCATTATTAGAAGTGTATTTAAAAATATATAAACCATAAACATGTCTTGATTAGAAAACATTGTAGTTAATCTTGTTATTTCAATTAATATCTGAGCTATACTTATTAAAGATGTCAAAGTATAAGATATTTCAATAATCCTAAAAATATTTAGTACTGGTACATCTAATTTTTTATGTAGATACCTTTTTCTTACCTTAAGATATAGGATATAATAAAAAAACACCCTAATAAAAAATATCCTACCATTAGTCCAAACAAACCATTGTTGACACCCTCCCATAAACTACTGTGTAAATAAAATGTAGACAATAAAGTATAGCTACTGACCAATGAAGATGGTAAATTTAATGTTAAAGGCAAATGCATTTTTTTTAAATTAAATAATTCCATTTCATTTTGATATATTAAGACTCCACAATAAAATAATGCTGCTCCATAAAAACTTAAATACCAAAGACTGTTTACAAGCCTTTTAGATAAATATTCCTTGATTTTTGTACGTTTGAAAAAAGCCTTAAAATAAGATATAGTTTTGGGCCCTTTATTATAATATATACTAATAGGCAAACATCTACCTTTAAAAACCATTCAAACATATTATGTAAACACCACCATATTACAAACATCCAAGTAGCTCCATTACATAAAGTATTATTGTAATAATTTCCAATAAATTTATGCAACAGCCTAGGCATACATGTTAATTCAGACTTTAGGAATATACTTATGTAGGAACTCATTTTTGCTAACATTCAATATTAAGGTTATGTTTTTGTATTGGTAACGTAATATTTTGCACTACTCACTGCACTAGTTTATTTTTGGAAACTTTAGATTTTAAGATCACTGTCTTACTATGTAAGTATTGAATTAAAAACAGATTCTTCTTCTTCTTTCGTTGCATACTGTGTTGCATACATTATGACTTCAGTTCATAGATTTAGGGCCGGTTTATCAATGTCCAGTTAAGTGTTTTAACTGGTAAATAAAATTAAAGTGGTAGCTGACTGTGTATCAATACACAACTAGACTTTACTAAGAACTTACTAAGAACTTTTTTCGAGATAAATGCATTCTTTATAAAAGTTTTTGCTTATTCTCTAAAATGGCTTTAGTTTATACTTTTACCAATTTCCAAAATAATGTTTAAAAGTTTTATGTTCAAAAAATTATAATGCGCTTCTATGTTTTTGATTAGTTGTAATGACGTTAAATATTAAAATATTATTTAAATCGACTCAGTGCTCAATATTAGGTTTAACTACACTCACAGGCAAAATAATCGATCCATACAAATTTTCGATGAATTGCAATCGCAAATAACTTTTTTATTTGATTTCGGATTTAAACAAATTTTAAAGAATATTGTAGATACATTAATGGAGAATCGCTCGCATTTTAAAAATTACTAAAAATTAGACCAACGTTTATAATATACAGGTTTAAACAAAAATATGTTTTTTACCATAATTTTAAGACACCCTGTAGAGTGGCTATAGCGTATATTGTTCTAAATTAAGTTTTAATTATCAAGTCACATCTATTCTTATCAGTTTTGTTTTTGGTTCACCTCAATATATTTATTTTTGTGAAAAATGTGAATTTTTTAAAAAATCATTGCAATTTCCAAGATTTTTTCTGTATGAAGAACTAAGGTTGCTATGGTCCATCCATAGGCTATGGAGGATGACAGTGACAGTTTTCTTAAATCATCCCATACTTGGACATGTCATAAACGGCTTTCAAAAGCTATCAAATTGTTTTTTGTAAATTAATGTGTTAATTTTGAGGGTCTTCTTACTTTTAAAAATGTCTTCGACTGATGTTGCCCTTTGTACTTTACTTCTTGTGATTTTTAAAACACTTGCCACGTAATACTGTGACCATCCATCCTGAATTAAATAAATGGCTCTGGCAACATCAGTCGGAGACATATTCATTTTTAGAATTAAGAAGACACCTTAAATTTTAAACATTAATTTGCAAAAAACGATCTGGTAGCTTTTGAAAGCCTTTTATGACATGTCCAAAAAATCCATATTTTCCACAAAAATAAATATATCGAGGAGAACCAAAAACAAATAAAATAGATGTGACTTGATAATTAAAACTTAATTTAGAACAATATACGGTTCAGCCCCTCTACAAAGTGTCTTATGGTAAAAAACAACTTTTTGTTTAAACCTGTATATTATAAACGTACGTCTATTTTTTAGTAATTTTTTAAAATGTGAGCGATTCTTCATTAATTTATCTACAATATTCTTTAATATTCGTTTAAATCCCACATCAAATAAAAAAGTTATTTGCGATTGAAATTCATCGAAAATTTGTGTGGATCGATTATTTTGCCTGTGAGTGTAGTTAAGAAATGTTGATGGAGTACAGAATTTATTTGGTACAGTGAAATAGAAGAGGAGATTGTTTAGTTTTTGATGCAAAACGAAACGAAGATCGTTCACGATGAAAATGACGCCGCAATTATTCTGCCGTGCTAAGCTAAACCCCCGTATCTGCAATATTAAATGTTAAATGACATAAGATCATTTTTATTGTTTGGCTTATCAGGTCAGTATTCTTGTTATGGATTCAGTACAACACACACATACAAAATAAGGAGATCGCTCCAACTGGGAATCAGCAAATCCCATTTCATCCCTACAAGCCGATATTCCACCATGTATTGGAACCTGGAGATTCAGCTAGGTGTTTAGATTTTTGTTTGTGGTTATGGGTCAATATCATGGATAATTAATACTATTTTCTACGACGAGGCTACATTTTCTACTAACGGCACTGTTTCGTCTAAGCCCGTTTGATATTGGAGTGATCACATCCCAGTAGTCGACAATACTTGGCCAAATCGTGCGCAATTTCATATCATGGCATCATAGGACCGTATTTTTTCGACAATACGGTTAATCAGCAAGCGTATTTGGCAATGCTTGAAAACTTTTTGGATAATAAGCTTGACGAGCTACATACCCCTTGATTATCTCCTTAGCTGTTATTTTCAACAGGATGGTTGTCCGGCTCATTTCGCGCAAATAGTTAACAAATAATAAACTTTGGCAGAAGTGGATTGGGCGGAACGGTCCAGTTGTATGGCCTGCCAGAAGTCCCGACTTAACAATCGCAGACTTTTATTTATGGGATCGATTGAAGCAAATTTTTTATATGTCAAAGACCTACCAAATGTAGACAATTTAAAGCAACAAATAAGAGACGCTGTAGAATAACAATTGAAGATATTAGGAATAGTTACGAGGAACAGCGTAAACGAGCAGAAATGTGTGTAGAAAAGCTCGGAGAATGGATTGAATGAGTTGTTCTTTATACTTATTTGAATAATTAATTCATTAAAATATTAATCAGTTACCATTTCAGTGTTTATTTACTACAGTATCAAAAGAAAATAACAATCGTAGTCATAGATAAAAAAAATAGATGAATATCTGAATGAAACTATTTTAAATGCAATATACTTGCCCCCAGCCCAGTAGGTGGCGCTACGCTGACACCCATAAATCTAGATACTTTACATCATTTTGGCAGGATTTCATCTGTTATTTATTAATTATCATAGTGATTTCAAAATATTTCAACTTAAAAAAGTATTTTTATATATCTTAAAGTGTTATTATTATATCTTAAAGTGTTATATTATTCAAGGTAAGATATAACAGCAGGATTTTAACCTGCATTTCAGGCCGTTTTAGGCCGAAAGTCACTAAAAAAGGCCTCAACCGCCTAAAATATGCAATAGGAAATAAAAACAACACGATTAAACATAATATTTATTAAGGTCCTATCAATAAAAATAAAACAAAATATATATATGGTGCGGGTCTAGCCATCTAATAGCCATCTAATAGCTACTACACTGCCGTATGCGTTTATACCTAGTAGATGCGAGTAAACGAATACAAAATGATAATTTTCGATCCTCCTTGCGAAATCTATGTAGACCCATGCTTAAACAATTTGTGCAAAAAAATACAGTTAAAAAACTATATCGTGCGGCAGTGTAAATATTTAAAATATATCATTGACTACTCAAACATAATTTTACATTTTAAATTATCATTTTGTATTCGTTAACTCGCATCTACTAGGTATAAACGCATACGGCAGTGTAGTAGCTATTCGATGGCTAGACCCGCACGCATTCAAATATGAAAAACTTCCCTTCTAATGTCGGGCCCACTCAAAATTTTTGTTTTATTCAAAGGTAACATAATAAACTTCGATTTTATGCTATTTAAAAAAAAATTAAAAAATACACATTGTTTAAAAAAATGCAAAATATTGCAAAATTTCCAAAAAAAAATTGCAAATTTTTGTTTTTTGCAAAAACGGTATAGCCCATTGAAAAGTACGGAAAAAATCATTTAAGGTGGTTAAATTAAAATATTTAATAAAGAGATGAACAGAAGTTATGAATTTTTAAATAAAAAGCGATTTCACCAAAAAGTAATAAATCGATAAATTTCAATAATCCATAACTCTTGAATGAACGATCCTAGAGCAAAAAATTTTTATGCTATGATTCTTCGTCATAAGAACAACAAATAAGTAAAGTTTAAATAAAATCGGTGACAAAATTTTTTTCACCTGGTACACTTCGCAAATTTTGCCCCATATGCGTTAACAATTGCACAGTCTAAGAGGTACATAAAAAAATTTTATTCTGGTAATTTTGAGAAAATCTGGCAACACTGCAAATGTGGCAATGTTGCATTATATTTGATTGTTTTCCCTCCGTATATGTCGTCACTTCCGTCTCGTGTCGAGGTTTCTATTTTTACTCCCGATTCCACTTAATCCTTGAAATTAAATGCTCGATTCAAGTATAGAACAGATAATATTAATTTTTACATGGCCCAAACACCTCCACGGAAATAGAATGAATAACATTTATCAGCACAAAATTTGAACGCTCGTCTCAAGTGTAGAACATATGTATGTCATTCCATGAAATTCCACCTAATGACAAAAGCT